TTTAACTCAGGCCCTTGCGCTAACCTCTCGGAGTTTAGCATAACTCCAGCACTATGAAAACACATAAGCACAGGTATTAGTAACAGCCTTAGAATAGTTTAATCTTGGGTACGTCTATACAGTAGAATGCCTGCTGTATAGCAAATTTTAAAGAATAGATTATTTTTTTGAGTTAGCGTTTTCCTATTGCAGTTTAGGGTGGCCGTAAATTCACTGTGTAGTCCAGGTTGGCCTCAAACTCAGAGTGCTCCCCCTGTCTCAGCCTCCTGAGTGCTGGGATTACAATTTTAGATTCACAACCAGTTGTGAGTATAGTGCAGCGCTCTCATTATAGCCTGTGTCCAGTAACCCCTATCAGTGTGTTAGGCATTTCTCACAATTAGTGAACCAATATCAATATATTTACATTAATTAAAATATATACTTTATTCAGTTAGGTGTTTATGTCCTTTATTACAGGATTCTAGTAAAATAGTAGTTGTTACTCATCAAGGCCCTTCTTGGCTATGAGTTTCTTTGGCTCTGATGACCTTGATTATTTTGAAGCTTAATGTTCAGGTATTTTGTTGGATGTGCCTCTGTTTGAACTTGTCTTGGGTTTTTCTTATCGTAGTGTCATTTAGGAGGAAGATCTCAAAGGGAGAGTCCTGTTTTCATCACACGCTCTATTGAGGCTATCGCTGTCCACATGATTTGTCGTTGTTGACATTGATCTTGACTACCTGACTGAGGTGGTATCTGCCAGGTTCTCTGATTACAAGTCACTCTCTTCCTCTTTCCTAGCTCTTTGGAAGGAAGGTACTGTGCACAGCCCACAGGGAAAGACCAGGGAGTTCCACTCTTTCTCCTTGAAGGTGGAGTCTGCTTAGTGCCTCAGGATTTTTTGAAGACTTGCCTTTGCTCTCATTTATTTACTCATGTCAGTGTGGGTTGATATTTATTTTATATTTTGTGTTACAACCCTGTACATTAGCGTCTTGTTCACATTGATCTAGGTTTGTCTGGTTAGAGCCTTCTTTTGGTTCCTCTGTGTCGCTGTTCATAACGAAAGTTACTCTGAGCTGACATGAATGAATTTTAGGGTGTATTTAGTGAAAAAATGGAAGTGTGAAAAAATAGTATCCTAGCCCATGTATAAATAAAGGAAGAGAGGTAAGCACAACACACTTAGACCTCCTCAGCTGTGGAAAGAGAAGACAAACCTGAAGCTGAAGGGTTTCATTATCTTTTGAGGCATAGTTGGGAGCAGACTGAGGAGGACGGAGGCGTAACACTCAGACTGGCTCTTTCTCTTTGTCTCCTTGCCCAGCCTGGGTTCTCTTGGTACTTCCTGGCACATCTTCTCAGAGTTGCCCTACGTCCTTAGGTGTCATGGACAGCACCAAAGACCTTTTGCTTATCTGCTAATAGTTATTGAATTATAAATGAGAGTTAAAAACTTAGAGTTCCTTCCTTCCTTCCTTCTTTCCTTCCTTCTTTCCTTGCCAGGAATCACAGTCAGCATTTTGTGCTTTCCAGGTAGGTGCTTGTACCACTGAGCTATATCCCTGGCAAGATTAATTTATTTTAAAATTAAACCTATTACCTATTAATTTTCATACTGATCTTACTCAAAATGTGAAAAAGTAGCACCATGTTTGCATTTTTCAATTGTTTTTTACGTCTGAGTGAATAAGATTCAGATGAATGGGCCTGTCGGCTTTTGTTTTCAGTTTGTTGTGATATATTTCATGCAGCTTCTGGAAACCTGTGTTCTGCTCTTCTGAGAGGATGAGGGTGAGCAGCACGAGGCCTTTGGGTTAGTAGGAAAATAGTTGTGACCTTGTGTGTCTCTTGCAAAGGTCCTGAGAACCACTGGGCCGCCCCAGACTGCGCTTCACTTTATGGCACTTGGTTCGTTTTTGTCTCCCTGCTCACCATGTGCAGTGAAGTAGGGGCCAGGCCCACCTGCCTGCTGTGTCCCTGGAGCCTGGGACGTCATTCCCCACGTAACAGGTTCTCAGATGTCCAGTGACTGATTACCTGTTCAGACATTGGCGCTATGTGGACAGTTGGGATCTGTCTTGTGTACAAGGGAATTGCAGAGCACAGGCATTTTGTGCCACTTGCACTGGAGCATTTGCACTTGATAGTTTTCACATCATGTCACAAGTATAATTCTCACTTGTACTCAGTCATGGTGAGGTGAGAGGAAACAAGCGTCTTGGATTTAAAACTAAGATGCTTGCAGGGAGATATCTCAGTGGCATAACTTGGCAAGCGAAAAGCCCTGAGTTCAGTCCCCAGTACAAAATAAATAAGTGAACAAGTTGTCTATATATGGGGTGATTTGAATAAATACACCAAAATACTGTTTTACATTCTGAAAGTGTAATCTTTTATTTCTATTTGACTAGAAGGAGGGAAATGTCCCATTTGTTGCCGAGGAAGTAGTTTAGGAGAAAGACACAAGAAATATTTATTCTGAAAAGACCAGTAGATAACAAATAGGAGATCTTAGACTCTTAAAAACTTGGCAGAAAAACAGCTTTTATTCATTGTAGTCCTGAAAAATGTTTTTAGAGTTGCAGCAATGCAGGAAGGGAGAAGATAGCATGAGGCGTAGCTTACTAATTGTGTGTTGTCTGGTTTCCGAGAAAGCCATGATTAGAAAGAAGGCAGAAATGTGCTTATTACGACTGCAAGCCTTTGAGACATGTCATTATAGCAGATCACTGTGATCTCTGACCCACCCTTAAACATTGTGGTGTGCAAATCCTAATTATGGCCCCACTGAAATTCAGGGCCTTAACTTCAGCCTTTATCATAACCTGCTTTGGAGTATTTGTACGTTTTGCCATGACAATATTCATAGAATTTAAACCACTGGGAACTTTTTATTTTCATTTTTTGAACAGAAGACTTTGTTCTTGGGATATAGGTTTTTTAATATTGCAAAACAGTGGCTTATTTATATGGTCTGTACGAGTCACCTAATGAGCGTGTGTGCGTGTGCATGTGTGTTTTCTCCCACTGTGTACTGAGTATTAAACCCAGGACATTCACACCGAGTTCTGTCTATCTTCAGCCCTTTCTTTTTCTTTCTTTCTTTCTTTTTTTAAAATATTTTTCTCTCTCCTTTATAATTTTTAAAATATTTTTAAAATTTTATTTATTTGTTTATTTATTTATTTATTTATTTTGTGTGTGTGTGTGTGTGTGTGTGTGGCCAGCTCAGCCCACCAGGGGGCGGGGCTGGCTGGCATGTGGTGCTGGGGGATTGAACCGCGGTCCCTGTGCTTTGCTAAGCTTAGCTTGTTCTAAGTAGGTGCTTTAGACCACTGAGCCATCTCACCAGCCCCCTCAGCCCTTTCTATATTTTAGTTTTTGAGACAGGATCTCATTAAATTGTGTAGGCTGAGATCAAGCTTGCCATCCCGGCTCAGCTTCCTAGAGTGCTGGGGTTATAGGCACGTCCCGTCATGCCCACCTAGTATCTGATATACTTTGGTGATGTTTTCGGTGGATGCAAATGAAAATAGCTCAGGCACTGAGCATTTGAAAGTAGCTTCATGGGACAGTGTGTTTGCTAGATTAGTAAATCACTCCTGTTCCTGTGGCCGTGCAGCAGCTTGGCCCTGTCTCTTCTGTGCAAAATGGGTTATGCGCTGGCTTTAAGGTGTCCTCAAAGAAACAGTTGTGAGGAGGTGACTTTTTTATACTCTGTGAGACTCATGTCTGGAGGCCTTCTTACCAAGGAGGTCTTTTGCTGTTGTTTCCTTTTTACATTTTTGTTTCTGCTTGCAAGCATTCATTCCTCCTTCGCAGGAAGGTCCAGAATGAACTTACTTCCGTATTTGCACATTTATTAATTTGCTTCCTAACAGGGTGACACAGTAGCCTCATTTCCACAGTAATAACTATTGATACTCTGTCAGGGATAGTGGCCTGCTCTGTACTGTGTGTGAAATATTTTAACTCCATTTCTTCCTTTTAGCACAGCATTCGGAAGTTTTTTGGTTATTGTAACGATCTTGACCGTGAGATGAGAAAATGCTTGAAGAATGAGGTAAGAAAAATATCAAAGGCTAGAAGTAGTTGAACCAAGAACACAACATTTTTGAATATTATATTGTTGTCATTATGAAAGTTTCCAGTGTGCAGCAGCAAAAATCAACTTGGTATGTGTGGCCGCCCCTATAAAACAGACATGAGTGGTTTCCCCACAGGGCTTTAGAATATTGCTACCCTTTTGCTGTATACGCAGATGAGGAGAACTCATTTGTTGTAAAATGCAAGTTGGGTGGATTTTAGGATTTAAGAAACTGTATCTTTGATTAGCAGACAGACTTGGCTAGTCAGTGACAGCTAATGAGCATGTGACTAAAACGTGGCCTCAGTTTCCTTCTGTACAGTAAGGAAGGCAGGTGAGAGCTTTCAGCTTGTGTGGCTTGAACGTTTTCATCGCTGTGCTGCGTGCCAGCCACAGGGACCTAGGTGACTTGTCTGGGATGGTAGTCAGCTGACTGTGCCTTTCAGCTGTGACTTGGACTCAGTCAAATAGCCAGGAGACCACAGGCATGGTCACTTTTCCAGGTACCCCTGCCTAAGCAGAGAGCATTGTAAACCTTTGAAAGAAATCTCATTTCCATTTCGTACATCAGACGACCAGAACCTTTAAAAATATCTAATGAGGGCTGGGGAGATGGCTCAGTGGAATAAGTGCTTCTCTGGCGAGCATAAGGGCCTGAGTTCAATCCCCAGTTCCACAAAAAAAAAAAAGAAAAATCTAATGACTGAAAAGACAAAATATGTTATATATAATGATTAAGAATCTGTTCCAATTTTATCTTTTCATTTTTTTTAACTTCAATTAAGTCTCAGATTGATATATTTAAATATTTGAAGTTGTTTAGCACCTGTATTTCTTCATTTTTATGTATTTTCTACTCTGGGAATTATTTTTTCTTATTAGAATTTGTTTCCTTGTGACCATATGTAGAATTTTTTTTTTCTTTTGAGCCAGGGTCCCTCTGGGTAGTGCAGGCTGACCTTGAATTAACCTATGTAGCGCAGCCTGGCCACAAACTCACAGTGATGCTCTTGCCTCAGCCTCCTGAGAGTAGAATTTTTTATTGAAGGTGATAGTTTTGTGTCTGCATGTGTGTATATTGTTTAAAATGATTTTTTATGTCATCAGTTTATTTACAAACATATCTAGTATGCCATGTGAATTTCAGAGTTTGGTTTGTTTTCAAAGAGAGTCACCTCTCCAGAAATTCTTCCCATCTGTGAGAAGGATGAATTAAAACATCCTTATTTTTTAAGCTGTTGGTGTCTCACTATTTTTAAAGAAAGGTGCTGCAAAACCAGGTCCAAAGCACAAGGTTATCATAGCCAGCAACCGCCACTTGTTTTCCACGGAAAATGGCAAATCCTTCGCCATGGAGGGTGGGAGCCTCCGGATGCTCTGCCCCAACATGGTGCCTCAGGAAGCTCTGCGAATGGGGAAGAAATGGCCGAAAACTCGAGCCTGCCTTCACTCAGGAGCTTGTCCTCAAGAGCAAGACTACCAAAATGATTTTTGAAAAATGTTTTTCCTTCATGTATAAAGATGGGTTTGTTTAGAAACTGGCTCATGGAAAAATACAGCTGTTTTGTTTTTTCTTTTTTTGCATATGCTTGTAGTTTTACTTCTGTTAAGATTGTCTTCTTCATGTAGTTCACTAATTTTTGCCATTGCTTTATTGATTAGAGCTTCATAAGAAATTTTTTCTCTAGCTAGTCCTGAGCTCTGTTAGTGATGGTAGAATGTTGTAGATACTTTATTTTTGTGCTTGTTTTCAATACAGATTTTACATTTTCTCCTTATTTTCTTAAATTCTAAGCCATATAGGTAGTTTTATATTGGCTCATTCCTAGCATCTTGGCGTTCCTCTGTCTGGCCTTTTGTTCTCTAATCCTCGGGTCCTTTCTCCTTTGCTTTCTCTCTGCCTTTAGGCTTCAGACATTCTTCTGCTTCTCCGTGTATCCTCTGAGTGCTTCATTCCCTGAAGCTTTTGACCAGAAAAAGGGTCTCCCCACTTTTTTTCTGAGCCTTTCTCTATGTGTTTTCATTGCTTGTATTCTTACTGAAATAATTACTAATGTTATTTCTATAGTTACTTTTGTCCCTTTTTTGGTGTGGCTTTATGGATAATTGACCTTTTATTCTATTTGGGTCATTTAATGAAGTTTTGTGAATAGCAAGCAATATTTTTTTGGAGAATATTTCCCTTTTTTTCAGGGACCATCTTGATTTCCTATGAAGTTGTCTTAAGTATTTTAATATACTTTAATTTGCTCTATAACTCATTGTAGAGTTTATAAGGAAATAACTTTTATTTATTTATTTTTGCGGTACCATGGATTGAACTTAGGACCTTGTGCTTGCCAGGCAAGCACATATTCCATTTAGCTATCTCCCTAGCCCCTATGAGGAAATATGTTGTGTTCAGTGTGAAAACTGGAGCAAGGAGACCTGGCCATCAGTTAATCAGGCCACATTGCAAGGAAGTGGCCTCTTGTAGGTAGACTGGCCAGCAGAGCTTAGAGGCCCTTCCTGGACTGTTAGCTCAGGGGGCACAGGCACAGGGTTTATCCATTTGAAACATTGCTCAGATACTTGTACTGGGGAGAAATCGATTCAGCAGCTCTTTATGCACCAGCTAGGACATAGGTGCTGTCCCATATTGAATGAGGTCGTGTCCCCTAAGGTCCCTGTGTCCAGTCTGACATTCAGTGAAATAAAGACAAAAATTTTGTCAGAACATTTGCCTAGCATCACTGGTATAAATGATGGCACCTGCTGTCTCTTTTCTCCCTTTTTCATTCCAGTACATGGCAAAGAGAACCAGAAGCAGGGAATATGGAAATGAGATGCGAAAAAGACTTTTCAGTCCTTCAGAAGAATCTGAAAAATAAGTGATGTTGTCACTGGATGATGCCTGAGAGAAGACCTAAGGACTGTGGCTTCATCGCTGAAAGGATCCTCTCTCGCTTGTCTCCAGAACCCCTTGAATGCAGAGTGAGCCCTGAAGACCCGCATACAGAGGTGTGGAGACCTGCTTGCGAGTAGGTGCCGAGCAGACCTGCAGTGCTCTCGGTTCTACAGCGCTCCTGACGTCCTGTGGTGCCCTTTGTCTCATCCGCATGAGTCACTTAGCTCCTTCAATAAAGCCTTTTCAGTCATTTTTTCTTCCTGTCGCTTAGATGTTGTAGAATTAGATTAAATGGCATTAATAGGCTTCCCATTTTGAGAATATGATCGCAAGGATTAAACATTGGTTTTCAACAATGTGATGATTATGAGGATTAAACACTGACTAGGGCAAGAAGAACCTGGGAAAGTCCCAGGTGTTTTAACTTGTGGAAAATGTTCCAGTGATTCTGTTTTTAGAGAGCCATTTTCTAAAATATTAAATGCTTGTAGCTGGTCCCCTGACCAGGATTGGAAATATGCGGACAGTCCGTCAGTACGCAGCATGTACACACTTCTTTGGCATTGTCTAAAGAGTGCAGTAAGTTGTATTAGGTGTTGTACATAATCCTGAGAGACTAAAGTCTACTGGAGGACGTGTACAGGCTCCCTGCAAATGCTGCACCATGAAGAGACTTGGACATCCTGGATGCTGGTGTCCAAGGAGAGCCTGGAACCAAGGGGCAGCCCATAAGGCTGTACCTAATTGGCATTTTAGTCATGGAACTTTGCTTCTTCACTTGGGTGAATGTGCCCGCTCTGGGTGCCCACTATCTCCTTGGTGTTGCCTTCAGAGCAGCGCGTTTTCTCCCTGCTGGGAACAGTGCTCCTCAGGTGCTTTGTTTGGGCAATTGGCTCATCAGTGCTTCTGCCCATTGTTGCTGAGACCTGTGGTCATTTGGAAGCCAGCAACTCCGAGCATGGCCACGGCAGGGGCCCTTCTTCTCAAGTGTCAAGGGATGGACAGCCTTTTGAGCCTTCCAGTGATTTTCCTATACAACGTCCACTTGAGGTCTTGTTGGTAATGGTGTTTAATGAGTGATTTTCCTGTCCTGGGAGGAATTCAAGAAACTGGACGTTCACTTAGCAAGGTGATTATAGAGGATAACATTCAGTGAAGGGAGTGGGTACTATCCAGAATTAATTCTTTTGGTCCTTTCCAAGAGAGTATGAGTATTCACTTTCTCCCTGAGTGTTAGCCACTAAGTACAGAAGTGAGACATTTTGCCTGTAGAATCCTGTAGCAAACCAACAAGCTGATATTCCAGTAGTCAACTACAATAGCAAAAGTTCCATGATTAAGGAGGTGTTGCAGAAAACATGAAGGGGCACTTGGGCCAGGCAGCAGGAGGGAGCCATGCCAAGGAAGCTGCTTGGCAAAGGTGTCTTTTGAGAAATGAGAGAAAATGCGCCACTTTCTGGGAAGCTTGAGGTCATTCAGCATGACTGGAATGTGGGAACTGGTGGTGGAAGAAGATCACAAACAGCTTCAAATTCTTTGTTGGCTGTTTGAAACAGGGCCTTGCTATGAGCCCCGGGCTGGCCTCAAGCTTGCAGCAGTCTTTCTCTTGCAGCCGTCTGAGTGCTAGGATTACAGATGGGCCACCATGCCTGGCTGTTGAACTCTTTGAGATTTTTTAGCTTTAACATAGTGATGACCAGTCATAAATTTTAGTATGGTGGTTAGATATTCGGGGAAAGGAGTTAGAAGGATGTTTCAACTTGATTTCAGTAAGATTATTCTGGTTGGGGGGCTGGTGAGATGGCTCAGTGGTCTAAAGCACCTACTTAGAAAAAGCTTAGCAAAGCACAGGGACTGCGGTTTAATCCCCCAGCACCACATGCCAGCCAGCCCCGCCCCCTGGTGGGCTGAGCTGG